TGACATGGAAAGGAGCAACAGACTAATAGCTGGTATTATTTCTGAAATGTTTGGTAGAATTCAATAATGAAGCCATCTAGGCCTGGAGTTTTCTTTGTTGGAAAGCTTTTAACTAATGCAATTTATTTAATAGATATAGGGCTATTTGGGTTGTCTAGTTTTTCTTGAGTAAGCTTTGGTAGTTGACTATTATCTTGCTGCATAGTAAATCACCTCAAAATTTAACAGCTTAAAACTAAGCATTAATTATCTCAGTGTCTGGGGGTCAGGAGTTTACGAGCACTTAGCTGGGTTCTGGCTCAGGATCTCAAGTTAGTCAAGATGTATGGTAGGCAGTAATATGAAAGCATGACTAGGGCTGGAGGATCTGCTTGCAAGATGCCTCACTTGCATGGCTTTTGGCAGGAGGCCTCAGTTTCTCACTGATTGTTATCACAAAGTCTCATTTTATTGTTGGTGGTTGGCAGGAGGCCTCAATTTCCAGCCACATGGGCCTCGCTCTCCAAAGAGCTGCTTGAGTGTCCTAAAGATATGGTTTCCTGCCAAGTGAGCTGCTATCCAAGAGAAAGGGCAAAGAGGAAACTACAAAGCCTTTTGTGACCTAGTCTCCAAAGTCACATGCCATTACTTCTGCCATATTCTATTATTTGTTAAAAGGCAGCACTAAGTCAAGCCCATGCTCAAAGGGAGGGGAATTAGACTTCCTCTTTGAAGAGGGAGTCAAAGAATGTGTAGACATACTTTAAAACCACCATAGTGTCTCTCAAGGACTTTGTTCATTTTATGTAAATTGTGAAATTTATGGGCATAACGTTTTTCATATTCCCTTAATAACCCTTTAATTTTGCAGTGAACACATGTATACCTACTATCCAGATTTTAGCGTTAACATTTTACTGTGCTTGTTTTATCACATATCTATCCATCCCTCTATCCATCTTTTTTTCTTTTGCCTCTTTAATGTAATCATTGTTATTCCCCTTTTCTTTTTTGTTCCCCAGTGGATCAA